ATTCCAGAGTTCATGTAGGGCACGGAGAGCACCTTCAACGATTGATCGTTGTCGATATCGCACAAAAGTAGCACTCGTGATCACGATCTCCTATCGCTGCGTACGTCTGGAGTCTGCCCGTCTGCCCTGAAAAGCCATGACGAAGGATGACGAGTTCCTCTGGAGCGATCATGGGTTCATAGGATTTCTGTTGTGAAGGTGGACTCCTGATAATGGTTGTTCATAGCATGAAGGGACGCAGCTGGTGCAAGAAATGGTCATTGTGGAATTTTTGTGGTGTGCACACATACATATGCATAGTTGGATGCCCTTGTAAAATTTCCCTTCTTTGAACCCCCGACATCTCAATGGATCAAATGTGCGTCTTGAATACATACAATGAGACGTGGATACTGTACACTTTTCTCTTGTGGTGCACCCCAACAACTCACAGCGTTCTTTGTGCACAATATTGTCCCCCTGTCAAGCTTAACCAAGACGAGGACTTCGAACACGCAGCCACCGCATGGAGACTGGCAGTGACCACAAGACAAGCTGGCGAAAATGCTAGTTGGAGGAATCCATAGATCTCGAGGTCGCCAGTGAAGATAGCATACTCGGTATGCAAATCGAATCATGAGCGAGTTCTGTTTCCAGCGAAGAAATCCATGGCGACGATGGCGGGGACAAAACCAGGCTTAGAGAAGAGGGCCCTACCGGTATGATCGGGGCAATGAACTATCTTTATGATTGATTGATCATTCTTACCATGCCGTCTTCGCTCTTCTGGCGAAGAACCTTTCAATGCCATTTGCTATTTCTTCGGTGGTCCGAGAGTACACGTGAATGCGGGTGGGTGCATTGATCTATCCAGGAAACACAAACGACACCTCGTCTTCTTCAGACTGGGCAGGCGCCAATAGCAGGCAGCCCCAAGAATTTTATGTCCCTCCTGGTGACCACAGAGTCAGTGTCTCGTCTGGGTGTTGGACGGGCGCATTTCAGTTTCACACTACTATCCCCACAGCATCGTCACCCATATTGGGGACTTCCGCATCTAATCTCTCCTCCTGACATGAGTTGACTGGAGTTCACAACTGAAGGGAGATTTCTTGGATCGGATCGTTTTGGTTTGGGCACATGTCGCACAAGGTGATTCAATCGTACACACAGCTGTACAAGATGGAGGAGGATATGAGGTTTGTGAGGAGGTGCGGTATGGTGCAGGTGCACATCAACTCCCCATCATGCAGCGACCACCGAATCTCGCTCTACGGAAAGAAATGGTTTACCATCAATGACGTCAGTTGCCTTATGCATTTTTAGAAAGACGTATTGTCGCATTCGACCAAAGGCCCCTACATCAGAAGGAGGAGGGCGCATGTAGCCCAAACACGGGGGAAAATGAACGTCCAATCCGGAGCAACACAAGGACCCACAGCAGTCTGACCTGTCACCCATATTCTAACTCAGACTAGCTAGAGGATGCTTCATTTATTTAGTCGCTCTTCTTCCTTGCAGAACCGTCCCGGTTCATCATCCACGTCAAAGCAATCGCAACCGCCAAAAATGCAGGCATGGATTTGGAAACCCAAATGATCATTCGGGCATTTGAAATTGCACGCAGGATATTAGCAGTGTCATTGGTGCGTGGATAGGGCTCATTGGAAGCAATGAAACTGTGACAGTTGGCCTGAACAATTTCAGAGACTGGCCCCAGAAAGTCACAGAGAGGCTTCCACCCATCCTTTGCTTGAAACACAAGAAGGTTCTCTCGGTTCACAGTTCTCAAGACATCCTCATTCCAAGCATCATAGAAGGCAGGTAGTTTCTCAGGCTCGTACATGGGAAGGTCAACACCACCATAAGAACCTTCGAAATATTCCGCAGCTTGGATGACTTTTGCTACCCAACGAAAAGGGACATCTCGGCACATTGCAGGAACATTGAGAATAGTAGTCACCATGCTGTTGGCCCACTTTGTTGCTGCCTTGTCTCCTTCTTCACTTCTGATTGAAAGAATAACCTTAGCTTCCGGATATTGTTTCATTTGTTCTTTGTATTTGAATGCTGCCGGCATATCCACAGTGGCATTGAACCCATCATTGGCCAAGTCTTTGAGGACTTTGTCAAAGCCAATAGATTTCTTCACAAGATGCTGATGCCAAAAATCTATCTTCCCCTTTGTCTCAACCACCTCCATCATGTGATGACATCTGAGTCCCAACATTTCCAGTGCTGTTTTGAGACTAGCAGTGCCTGTTCTGGGTAAACCAGCTCCAATGACAAGGAGTGGTTGGGGTGGCCCTGTGTACTGGACAGCCCCCATTCCGCCACTCAACGCATTTCGAATGACTCTGATGGCGGAATGGTCAAATCGGTCCATATTCTTCTTCCTCTCGCCAAGACCACCGAGCGCAGCCACAGACAGTACTAGTACTAGCGCCAGCACCAGCAGGAACAAGAGGAACTTCATGATCGATTACTTGCGCTCGACCGCGGTAGGTAAGGGCGGTAAAAGAGATTCTGGTCAAATACAGCGTTGTCGAACTTGTCGAGGATGAATAAATGACATCAAGAGCTCATCAAGGCTGGTGCGACACTCCGACACCACGGTCCGTGGTGTGGGGTGTGTGACTGTCACTCTGAAGCCGAGAAGCTCTCGGAAATTAGGACTAGATCTTTATGTACCGGTAGCAACCGTTACTGTCTTTGGAGTAGATTAGACAATTCAATTCTCTACTGTTCTTTACTCGGTCATAGTACATTCTCCCCGGTGAACAACAAAGAACAAAGATTGCCTTTCCCCATTCAACGGCAAGAGGCATGAGCTTGGCAGCTACTTGGCACAGCGGCAACAACCATCAACCAACCAATCCAGCCAGTCTGCTGGAGCTTCTGCTGGCAAAAGCAATGCCTAACGTTCACTTGTGCTTCTTGTCACTACCGTATTGTTTCTCAACCATCTGAGTGCCCTTAAGATGGAAATGCCCTACTGAGTACTCTGTATCATTTTGGTACGACAGCTACCGGTACAGGTACTGGTACCATATCCGGGGTGGATGTAGTCACCAAATCATGTCGTTGCGAGATCTAGCTGGCTAGCTATTATTATGCCACTCGAAATGAGTATCGCTCGATGGAATGAAAGCGCACACCTGTAG